ACAATTGTGGTGTTTGTTGTCTGATTAAGAAGTGTTTTCTGAATAGGAAGCCGAAGATCACGTTGCTAAAAAAAACGGAAATATAGACTGAAATATTAGCGAGGCAAATGAATTTTCCCATTCCGTCCAAATCATTTACTTTTACTGTCACCTCACATTTAATAAATGCCAGAATTCACGTATTAGGAACAGTACACCCTGCTATATATAACGAAGCTTTAGCGTTTCCATTCATATTTTTCGCATTTACCAACTGATTTTTGCTACAACGAAGGTGCGTTCTTCCCATTCTCATAGCGTGAGCTCCCTCTAACGTGGATATGAAGGGTATGCTTTAAGAAAAAAGCTGATGAAAGAAACCACCACATAGAAGCATATTATATTTCCAGTAGCAATTCAGCTATTTGTTTTTGCGCCTGTTAACTTTTACTGGTGATATTAAGGCGTATTTTAAATGTACAGTTAATTGTAAAAATTGAACCCAAAAAGTCCAAAAAGATAACAATTGCGTCGCCTGGTGGCCAGAAAATGAACGACAGCGACACATTCAGAAATCACAGGCATCAGAGATGAACCGATATTGCACCATTTCTAAAACGCACCTTCTCAAACTTGAGTTATTGAGGATTCTCACATGAACATATTTTCCTGCTATCAGGAACAGTGGGCATATTGCGATTAAGGAATTCAACAGCAAAACATTTCAACAATCTGTGGACTCATGTTTTCCTACATAAAAACAATTTGGATTGCACAAAACATTTGAAGCTCTTGTAAATAAGTAGTGCATGACACTTATCACTTTAATACACTGCTTGGCTTTCTAGTGTGTTCTGTGCCTTGGTGTGTACATGTTGCTCTGGAGCCTGGGACACGAAGGGCTGGTTTCTGCATTGGACAGGCTGGGCAGCCCTCCTGGGACAAGGTCCTTGTTCTGGGTAATGGCGAAGCAGCACTCCCCCCTAGGAACACAGCATTGCAGCTTTATAACAGACAGGATACTCACCAGGATCCAACCACACACCTTCAAAACCACAGCAGTTATACCTACAACCTGGCAAATCGTTTCTGCGGCCCTTAAGAATTAAAATTGTTTTGTTCTTCAACTTTTAAGTTCTTGTACTTCTGCCTTCTTGGTCCGGAAAAGAAAACAAAAGCAGCACTCTAGAAGGAGACAATTTATGTGTAAAACAAAAAGCACCGAGTTTCACTGCGATGAGTTCTAAGCACAGAAAACTTTGTGCTATCCCCAAAAATGTGTTAAAATTCAATTTTTGAACAATGAAGTACAGTAAGAATTTCTTATGTATTCTGATATGGATGTTCCACACGAGGTGTGGAAATCAGGAAATGTAACATCATTTTCCCTGAAGATGGGCTTTTCTGAACATAGGACTTGCATATTAAAATAACAATACCCCAACACTTGTAAAGTAAGACATGCATTTGAAATGAACTGCCTCCCGCTGACGTACCTCGAAACCTGTTAATGGTGCATTGTTATTCAAACTGCCAGCTGCTGATAGCATCAGCGGCGATTGTTCTGGCTCCTGTATGACAGACCCACAGCAATCCTGCTGCAGACGATCCTCACACTTAACAGGTTTCTCCTGAGCCACTGTTTCTAAATCACCCCCAGAATACACTTCTCATTTCAGTAGCAGTCTGCCTCAATTAGCAGTTAAAAAAAGTCCAGGGAAAGAATCCAGGTCCATAGAACTCAAGTCTGAATAATCAACAGAAACTGAGCTTTTTTTCCCCCCTCAATCTCGTTTCAGTATGTGAAATTCAGACCAAACCAAAACACAAGTATTTCATTAAACTCTGTCCTTTCTTTTTCAGTGTTGTCCACTTTTAATTCTCTTGCAATGACTCAGAGCTTGCTTGCACTGTGAGTAAGACTGAGTAAGAATAAAAGGCAGATGTTGCACTGACTCCAACAGCACCATTGGTTGAAGTGTTCCTTTTGCAAAGGGGTTTAAGTGTGGGTATTTGCAGGCTTGGGTTGATATGTTAAAAAGATGCAGTCGTCCAAGCACCCCTCAGACTCGGGGATCTGTACAAGAAAACAGCCGTAAAGGAAGGCCAAACTGCTCAGTTATCCAGAGAAAGGTTTATAATTATTATTTCAGTATCCCAGGAACCCAGAACTATGGGGAGAAGTACAAATAACATTCCATTTCTCTTATCCCATAAGCAAGCTCCTTACAACTGATATGCAAGCACCCAATTTTCCTACCATAACAAAACAAATAGCTGCGCTGCATGATAAATAGAGCAGCAAAATGAGGAGTTTAGTGTACTCAGGCCTGTTAAATACCAATATATAATATTGTCAAGCTCAAGCATTCCAATTGACTGTTGTTGTAATGAAAATCAGCCTATTGAGCAGCGTTTCCACCTTTTTCAGCCTTGATCACTCCAGGCCACAGAAGCTAAGCAAGGCTGAATGAGGTCAGTACTGGGATGGGAGACCTCAAAGGAAATGCAGGTCACTTCTAAAAATGGTGTCATTGGACCAGTAGGTGGTGCTCTTCCATCTGAGCCACACATCTCTGTTTTAACCTCTTCTTACACTTCAGGGTCATGGCAGAGCCAGGGCCTATCCCAGCAAGCAATGGGCACAAGCCAAGGCTCACCCTGGACAAGACACTAGTCTATCGCAGAGCACAGACAGACACCAGGACCAGTCTTCCCAGAAGCCAACTAACCTAGCAGCACCTGGAGGAAACCCACACCGACAGCAGCCCAGATCTGGGATCGAACCCAGGGGCGCAGCTCTGCAAGCCAGCAACGCTGACCACTGTGCAGTCTCATCTGAGCCAGAACTTCCAAAACAACGCTTTCCGCCCAATTCAGATCATTAGTGTGGCGAGTGGAGTCATTGTGCTGCAGGAGACATTAACCTAGGGTGGGCAGTCTTGGTGTGGGAAGGCCTGTTTGTCCACAGGGTTTCTAGGCGTCTTCAAAGCAGCAGCACCTGTCAAGCTGGAAGAAGCTGTTAAATAGGTCCCATTAAAACAGTAATGAGCTGACCTGCTTCAAGAACATGGCTGGGCAGCTTGTTCCACACTCCTACCAACCCTTAAAGAATTCTTGTTTTCAGTTTTAAATTCCCTTCCACATAGTTCTCACTTGTGTCTTCTGGTTTCAATGTTCACTCTCAAGAGACCTGCAGGGTTGACTATCAAGCCTGCAGGTCTCTGAACAACTGTATCAGTGTACCCCCCTAATAGTCTTCTCTGCTTAAGAATAAAAAGGTTCAATTCCTTTAATCTCTCAGTTAAGACTACTTGATCATCCCAGATGTTCAAAAATGCAAATACTGCAGTCACATTTATTTTATTTGTCGGTTCTCTTGAGTGCCTGTGATGAACAACTACAAATTTAATAAGTCATTATCAACATCCATACTTGTTTTACAGATGAAATGTTTTTCCTGTTACCTGTTAGTTTGTGCTGGGGCCTAGGTACAATTATCGCATCTTAAAATTATAATTAGACATGTCTTTAGAACAGTGTCTTTTTAACAACAATGTGATGACTTCAGCAGTCAAATAAGCTTTAGTTTCTTCTCAGATAACAGACCCAATATAATATTACATAGACAAAACAAAGTTTTAAACTGAGTAGCTGACCAAACAACTACTTTATCAAGATAAGGCTGCTGCTGGAAGAGGTTTTAGTAAGACCAGCAGGGACTGCCTGTGTGCCCCCTAATGCACCAATATAGTGACGGAGAGACTATACTCTAAACAGGTGCCGTCCTTCGGATGAGACATAAAGCCAGGGGAGACATGTAACCCCCTGGCCTTCACCAATCAGGGCCTTCTAATAACCCCCGTCTCTGAACTGGCTTCATCCCTCTGCTCTGCTGCCCGCTGAGAGCTGGTGTGTGGGGAGCAGACTGGCGCATCCTCCAGGTGGGGCTGCACACTGCGGGTGGTGGAGAGGATCCCCATTACCTGTGAAGCGCTTTGATTAGACTTTCCAAAAAAGCACTACATAGGTGTAAGAATTTTAAATTACTATTAGTTAGTTTATAAACTCTTCTGGAAAGAGAATTGAACTGCACCCCCACTCTTTACAAAGCCTGAGGTATTGATAAAGGGGTGACTAGTGCTAGACACAGGAATGGGCTCTTCTTCCTCCTGCAAGGTCTTCTTGTTTTCAGTCTAGCGGAGCTCAGTCTCTTAACTCCAGTAACATGATGATTTGTTGCTTTCAGCTGCAGCTGGTATGTTTTCAAAAGAGTACCTCTCGCCTCAAACCGAGGAACTGTGTTGGTGATGAGTCATTGAGTAGCTCCTATTAAAACTGATTACGTTACCACTGCAGACACCCGATATCACTGTTATCAGTGTTCTAGTCAGATAAATATGCACCACAAACTGAGATAATGGACATTTCTTTCAAATACAGAGCAGAAAGCTTTTTTGGGGGGGGACACTCAAGATCCTGAATGAAAGGAATGCCACTGGGCAAGTTCCAAATTTTCACCAAGTCCAACCTGCCAAGAAACTGTGGGACGCGGGTTACATGCTTGAAAAAAAAAAACTAAAAAATTCAACAGATCAGCACGAATCTACACGGTGCAACCAGCAAGCAGAGAACAGGAATGAGCAACCACTCTGGCCACCCAGCACTTCTAAGCTGGCAGACATGTGCGATATGAACTTGAAAGAAGGCAGAAATGACACTTTGAATGAAAACCAGCTGTGGGAATACTTTTCACAGGGCCTGGAATTCCATCAGTTCGAAACTCCTTGAAAACCTCTTCCTGGAATGTGCAAAACACGAAAGGACTCTTTCAAGTAAATAGTAAAGATGCTTAGAAACACTTCTATTTTGCATGCTATATAAAACACTTACGGAATTAAACAGCTCCATGCACTGAACTGGAGAATATACCTTATACTTAAGTCATGAAGCATGACTGTTGTCATCAAATTGGCTGGTGCTATAGACGTAGACAGTGGAAGAAGAACTAAACAGCCAGAAGTTTATTGCACAGCAAAGGTTATGAAACTCTCAGAACCAAACATATCCAGTACAATTTGAAAATCAAAACAATTGGCAAGATACACCAAATGCTTATTCAGTGTTTTCCCAGGGCAGATAAAAAAACACATTAATGACCCTGTGCTCAGGTTTAGTCTTTAGCGTGAGGTAACCTGCAAACCTTAAAAGAAACCCACTGAAAACATTTAGTGTGGATAAGTCCATTAATAAAAGTGGACTTTACAGAACACAGAACCGTGCTACCTGAACATCTGTATATAGCTGTAAGAGCTATATTCCGCTGTGTTAAAACTCCTGAAGCAAGTAGGATGACAATTGGTTAGGAAGGATCACAGCCGTCCCAAAATGGTGTGTGTGCACACCTTTAGTATAGAAGACAATGAGAAATCACAGCCCTACTAAAATCTCAACCCCTGCCCCACATTCACCTTTACAAATACCTACATTGTTTTTCTGAGCACTCAAATTCATGTTTGTGCAAGAAGTGTGGATAACAATTATTTTTTCTAATCATTTATAGATTTATTTAATGGGTACAGCCCTGCGAATCAGTTCACAAGCTTCCAAAACAAACCAAAAAAAAAAACAGATGACAAAGAATAAGAATAGACAGGGAGAAAAAAACATCTGTTACAAATTTGGTATGGAGACACCTGGAAAAGAGCTGTATAAAATCTTTTTTATACCATGCGGATCTGAAGTTTAAAACAAAGAAAGAAACAAGCAGTTTAGTGTTTTTATACATATTTGTAAACGAAACCTGTCTAAATCATATTAAAACACAATATGGCAAAAAATAAAAATTCATAGTAACAAATTCAATGTGGTACTTACAGAGACTGCACACTGCCTGGCTTTTAATGCTTTACAGAGCAAAACAAAAACTTTTTCTCCACATTTTGTAAACACTGTTTACATAAAAAGATGTAATATGGTTATACAATATGGTTAATACACACTATAGCATCTCCGCTACATACATGAATACATGTGTCCCTGGTTACGTTTAAACAGTGATATGAGGTATATAAAGGTCAATTCTAATTTAAAACATAGCGCCTCTTTTGAGTGGTCAGTTTCTGTTCCCTATGATATGACAAGTCTTGCAGTCTTTTTTTCTCCGCTCCTTTTAAAGGGCTCAATCACATAGGACCCCCAAAAAAACACAAATATCAACCCCCTCTGCCATTCCAGGACAGTTAATAAATAGCACGGAAGACAGCGCAATCATTTTTTTTTTGCAAAAATTCAGTTGTAGAAATAACACTTCTTTATCAGGCATGAGTTTCTTTTTTTTTTTGGTAAACAGGTTTATGTCCAGTGATTTTTTTTTGCATCTGAAGCATCTTGCACCTCACCCTTTTCACTTCTTGGTACCTGCTGGGATAGGGGGGACCTCGAAGCTGGAAATTTTGATCTGAAATGTGACGTATGATTTCAGAGGTAGGATTTTAAAAAAAAAATTCAAAACCAAGTCGGACACCTTTCGAAGTGTCTAATTCTGGAGTCACTCTGCCCCCTTTTCTGTTCGAACGGCTTCAATACTGTCCAAAAGAGGTCATCGGCATCCACAGATTCGCTCACACGGCGCTCATGATAAACACCCAGAAACCTGGCGAGTTTATGAAATAACCCCCGTCCTGTTCCCAGTACAAGATCTTCGGTCAATACAAAACAATCACCTCTAGCCACAGGTCAGTTCCCTTGTGTTTGTCTGCAATCTAACTGGTGTTTCTTGTTATTTCGTGACTAGGTATTAAAAGTGCTTATCAGATTCCTATAGAAAAGACATGAGCCAGCCATCAGAGCGTGCCACTTCACCTTACGACAATAACACCCCGCATGTGCTAGGCAGGCATACAGCACACCCAGAGTCACCCCTACACTACTGCTACAGTGATGCTAGGACTTCTAACTACAGGCCCCGGGGAGGGCACCGCTGCTGGCCGGGCTACGCTAATAACTTTGCAAATGGAGGCACTCATGCAAACAATGACTCAGAACCCCAGTACGCAATCCGTACTGCAACACGCGTGCCGGGATTCCCGAGACTCGGAGCCCAACATGAGCCTTCTCTTTTCAACAGGCTAACAAATGTCCTTCTAAAACGCCTCTCGCTTTGTAGTGCCCCAGAACAGCTGATCCGTTTCATATAAATATATATGGGCCCTTACTGACAGAAACTGGGCGTTTCACATCAAACAAAAAGTACCAGAATCTAAGGGAAAAGTGTTATCAGTGTAACTGCACAGGAAGCAGGTTCATTACTTTTGCACTCATTTCTAAAAGGAATAAGAACTGAAGCTACTTTTTTCCTGTGGTCGAAACCTAGATCTCTAACAGAGTGCATGCTGCACTTCATAAACTCTCCTTATTACACTCGTCATTATTTTCCTGAGTAATACTTAATATCCATGTAACAGACGATATCTTTTTTTGCTATTTCAAATCTGGGCTATTCCCTGCCACAAGTTTATTATTTTGTACAATTGTAAAGTTTGATTGCTAAAACACAGAAGTCGATGGAAAAATAATTAAGCCAGTCCTCAGCTACCCTAATTTTGCTTAAAATTCATTTTACAATCTGACCTATCATCATTACGCTAATATGAATAAAACTGACTACGTACAATTTAAAAAAAAAGAATAAAAAAAATTGCATTGGAAGGACGTCACATACACCATTCCTGGTAGGACTTTTGTAGAAACATTCTAATGGCAGTGTAATAATTAAAACATAACTTTACTTAAAACATAAAAAAAGAAAAACAAAAACAACCTCCAACCAGGTCGCACCTAAGACCTTACCTGTAACTTTGGCTTGTTGGGGTCTTTGCTCCTGTACTAACTGGCTCATTTACGTCGGCCAACAAACTAGTATACCCTGAGAATTCTGAGACGGGAGTCCGTATTCTGTGGTCAACCTCTCCGCTAGAGTTAGTGCTGAAGGCCAGTGGCACTCTGCTGCCCGACTTGAACTGGGACCCGAAGGCCTGGGCGAAGTTCTCGATCTGGTAGGTGGCTCGGAGGTCGATCCCCTTGGAGGGGTCGATCTGGGAGGCCAGGTCCTGCCCAGACAGCTGGTAGCCGGACGGGGGGTTCTTGGCCTGATCCTTCTGACCCCCCAGGTCTTGGGGCGTCATCTGGAAGGTGGGGGAGTGCTCCATGTTCTTCTGCTGCTGCTCCAGCTGCTCGGTCAGCTCCTGGGACGGGGTGAGCTGCTGGTGGGCGGTGTCCAGGCCGCCCAGGTGGAAGCTGGGCTGCGAGGCGACGGCCAGCATCCCGAAGTGGGACTTTGGCAGGGCGGCGGGCAGCACGGAGGTCAGGGACTGGCTGAAGCCGCACTCCAGGGCCGGTGTGGTGTAGACGTGCTTGTCGGAGAACAAGGTGCTGCCGGGGTGCGTGCTGGCCGAGAGGCTGGAGAAGGGCCCGCCGGGGCCCAGGGCGAAGCTGCTGTTGTGGCTGGTCCGCTCCAGGGCCTGCAGCAGGAACTTGGAGTACTCGTGCATGATGACGGCCTTGTCGCCCGAGGAGGAGGGCGAGTCCTCGGCCACGATCTCGGCGCTGTCCCCGGAGGGGTGGATGTCCACGTGCTGGTCGGCGAGGTCGAAGGGCACCTCGTGGGCGCCGTCGGGCTTCTGGGAGTAGTGGTCCAGCAGGCTCTGCAGCACCTCGTCGGGGATGCCGGACTTGTCGTGCTTGATGTCCACATTCATGGGGGAGGAGTCCAGGAGGTTCAGCGGGGGGGCGTCGCTGTCCATGACGCCGGTCACCACACCCTGAATGACAGTCTGCTGGGAGGGCAGGTGCCCCACGCTCACCCCGTAGTCGGCGGCGCCGCCAGCGGCCTGCAGGTAGCGGCGCTTCTTCAGAAACTGCATGGCATCGTCGTAGTTGCTGCTACTCGTCGGGCCTTGCTTCGAACCCGAGCCCTGCAGGAGGCTCATGTTGTCCATCCCCGAGCTGCTAGCGAGGTCCAGGGACCCCGGCTTGTCCGACAGCAGCTTCTGCCCGACCAGGTCCGCTGGGGAGTCCCCCAGGGACAGCTCGTTCTTCTCCGGGTTCTTCCGGCTGACTTTCTTGAAGACGAGCTTGGGCGCTCGGGCCTGCTGGCTGTGCATACTGGTGCCTGGCATACTGTTACTCGAAGACACAATGGGAATTTCAACGGCGTAGTCCTGCAGGTTAAGGTTACTTGGCATCTGCGCTTCGCTCCCCTTCTTCTTTTTCCGTTCGCCGGCCTCGCCGGAAGAGTTTTTGGATTTGCCCTTTTTGCGGCCGGAAGCACTTGTGTTTCCCTGAGTGATTGCGTAGCTGCCCTGTCCGATCTCGGCGCCCCCCTGCTCCGAGGTCCCGGCGTCCATTCCTTTCTTTATGGCTTCTCCACAGGTTCTTTTGTGCTTTAATAATCGATCGGTCCTGGAAAAATACTGTGGGGGGGAAGGAGAGAAAAACACGGGTGTGAAAATGGCGAGATTCTCACCGCAAATGGCCATCAAGAGAAGACAAAACCGCAGAACCCCACCTCCTGTGTCCGTCATTGCAAATTTACTCTTGGCAGACAGTTCAAGAATAACTGAAAGGTGGGACAGCCTTATCAAAAACAGCCATTGTGCCATATGTGGAAAAATCCATGTACAGGAATCCTGGTGCACATTCGACGATCACCTCTAAACACTCACTCATGGTGAGACTCGAGTGCCTGGGACAGGATTCGCACTACCACCCCCCTGAAACAGCCTGAATACAGGGCACCACAGGAGGACGCACTTTGTGTGGGTGCTCTCCGGGAAATGGCATTGTTCATATAATAAAACTCATTTCAAAACCTCTCTGATCTGTGCTGTGACTTCTTGTGTCCCCTACGAAAGGAGCTGTGACTCATAGTTCCCTCCTGAATAAGCCCCTTATTGCTATGAGTCAGCATATTGCTAAGTAAGCAGGGTGTACTGGATGAAACCACACAACAAAATCCTACAACGAAGCACTTCTGAATTACCTTTGCAAAGATGTATTACAATCCCTGTGGCTCAGAAAATATACCAATAAAAGGGTGTGCTGAGTTGGGTAGTTGGGTACCTTTGCTCACTGCCTACCCACAGCAGCCTCAGCCTAGAGTAAAGTTTGTCTGAAGCCCGTTGTCAGCTGGCTGTTCAACTGCCATTATGTATTGAAATTGCTGCTAAGAAAGTTAAAAAAAGACTAATACCACTGAAATATTTTTTTTTCCCCTCCCATGGGACATCTTATTGCAATTGTGTACAGAGCAAGATAGCATGGAATTCAAAGTGTGATGAACTTTTTTTGAAAAAGAAAAATAGGAAGATTGAAGCTCAGTTCCAGAACTATTGCAGACTGTAATATCTTGAAGCATGCAGATGTGTACTAATGAGTATTGAAAGCTAAAAATAGCTGCTATCATAACCAGCATCAGCGAGGGAAACAACTAGACCCAAGTCTAAATCTGTCTGAGCTGAAGATAAGAGACAATGCAGAGCACTACTGTACTAAGGAGAGCACCCAACAAACTGTGAAACTGCGTCACCAGTGAAGCTCAATTGCAGGAACCTCACACAGTTGTCAAAGGCAACCCAGCAGAGAGCAGGAGCACCCAAGTCCTTCCAACCGGACTGGCCGGAGAGCGGCGGAGCTGCACGGAGCCGCTCCTGAGGAAGAGCAGAGAAACCCCCTTGATTCCGTGGAACTTCTGCTCTGCCATCAAGTTAAAATGAATGAGATAATAGAAAACCTTTCAATCAAATACCAATAGATTGATGTTAATGTTTCGATTATTATTTCTATTGCTTGTTATTGCAGTGTAAAGTGCGCTGTATATTCTCCTGCATTAAAGGTACAAGCCATCTTAAAAGGCATTACAGTTGAGCACATTTTCAGATGCTTGTGCAATGCTCAGCCGGCCCCGCTCAGTGCCAGGACTGTTCTCCAGGTCCCACACACCCTGCAGAATGAGCACCACAAACTCCTGCACAAACTCCTGACTGGAGTCAAAGTGTTCACCTCTGTTGATGTCTTTCTAGCCCTGAGCTAAGCCAAATGTGATGGAGCGCCCCACCTGCAAGGGCATTCCAAATCGGATCCACAAGTTTACAAACAGGAGAAGACTCAGCTGTGGCTCACTGCAGTTACAAAACAGCTACACAGGAGCGCATTTAAAAAGATTTAAACTCCAGTTTTAACATTCCGTACATCAGCTAAAACAGAGCTCCTCAGATGTTCAGAGCCTCATACCTATGATCTCTAATTACATGTATACACACACTGACACAATACTGGTTTCCCGAAAGGGTCAACATCTTTATATTTTGCAGTCACATTCCTACTGCACAGACTGGAGCTGAAGCAGAGTAGCAAAAAAACCAGCACGAAACAATAAAAGCATTGCTGAAGGAAACACCTGCCTTTTCACATGACAAAATCAGAAAGTCACCAAGAGTGGATCTCACTGTAGGACCCTCCTCTAACTGGGGAAGAACAGGTGGAATTAGCACGCTAGAAAATCACAGGCTCAGCCCTTGGTGAGGGAAATTCAGCTTGATCAGAGAGCGGGGTACAGATACAGACAGCACTGAGTGATTCAGATTTACTCCTGGATCTTCACGTAGGGTGAATGACAGGTGACAAGCTGTGTGCTCATGCACAGGAATGCACTGGTTCTCTACAAGACAGCAAATAACGTCTAGAGCCACAGTGTTTTGATAAATACACTACCAACCTCCTCCAGTGCACCTGTCTGCTGCATTGCAAAGTCAGGCCTGCCCCTTTCCCATTTCTGGGAAATATATTTACAATATATTGAGGAGGGGTAAGTGTGACTCCTTTAGATTATTAAAGCAATTAAGACTTTGGTTTTCCAGCTGAATTGTCATTTTTAGAACCAGAGGCAGCAGGATCACATTGACAGGGTTCTGGTTTAAGAATGAACAGGCCTGAAGATCCCACAGTATTGAACACACCCCCAGTACAATTCCCATGAGTTATTACCTGTTGGCAGGTGTCACATTTATATGGCTTCTCTCCACTGTGAGTCCTCTTGTGTCTCTCCATGTGGTACTTCTGAATGAACCTCATGTTGCACTGGTCACAGCTGAACGGCTTCTCTCCTGCAGCGAGGCAACACAGCACAGAAGTTTATACAGTGTGCCTCTGTGCAGCACTAAACCCTAAACAGGCACCAAACCCGGACTCGGGTGGTGCTCTGGCTCTATGGCTAAGGATCTGCGCCTGTGACTGAAAGGTTGTCGGATCGCATCCCGCGGCCGGCAAAGGAATCCTACTCCGCTGGGCCCCTGAGCAAGGCTCTTAACCCCAACTGCTCCAGGGGTGCTGTAGAAATGGCTGACCCTGCGCTCTGACCCCAAGCTTCTCTCCCTGTCTGTGTGTCTCATGGAGAGCACATTGGGGCATGCGAAAAAAAGACAAATTCCTAATACAAGAAATTGAATATGGCTAATAAAGTGATCTGATCTGAGCAGAGAAGGCAGGGGGAGACAAGCAGTCAGCAAAACCACTCAAGAGTCAACACAGATATTCTGCACATTTAATGCACCAGGATACTGGGTTTGATTCTAGCACCTAAGGTGTCCATATTCTTTTCCACTCGGGCTCCAAGCTTGCCTGGCACGGCTCTGATTTTTAATGCACAGCATGACCTGAGCTCTGACGAAAGACGCCAAACCCAGAGCATCAGGAGAGTCAAAAGCTTCTGCAGAGAGCGCCAATCCTATGTGGAAATAAACTTGAAAACTACATTTTAAGACACGGTAAGAACAAGGTAGATCTTAGCAAAGACAGCGGAAACATTAAGGAATTCTACTCCTGTGTAAAGTCAGATCCACCTCTTTTCAATGCCAGAGCACTTAAACCAAATTTTAAGTGGAAAAATATTCCATTCTCCTTCTCATCAAGCTATTCCCAACCTTGTAAAAGCCTCCTCCAGCCAAAACTAAAGCACAACACTCGGAACAGTGAGATACTCCCAAAAGATCAGGCTTACCACTGTGGATCTTCTCATGGCGCTGCAGAAGATACTTCTGGATGAAGCTCATGTTGCACTGGGCGCAGCGGAACGGCCGCTCTCCTGGACCACAAGGGAAAGGACAGCCAGCTGGTAAGAACTGGGAGCTTCTGACAGCACTGGCGCTGTTCCACTTTCAACCCTTTAAAACCCACTCTGCTCCTCCTGACACACAGGACTGCGCAAACTACTTCAGAAGTCAAGATAGTTTTTCCTTATTGATTTTTAAAGGAGAAAAGGTAACATTCAACATGGTCAAACAGAAAGCGAGAGCTCTTGATGAACCTGATCTGCATTTTATAAAAGCCACACAAAAACACAGATCTGCTCATGTTAAGGAACGAAAAACAATCGCAAAGGTATGAATGGCCAAGTCTTGATCAGAGACCAAAGAGCTGCTATAACAGTTACTAAGGGCCCTGATTTCTGGAGATTACATGACAGCAATATGACCGCACACTCACAAAGTGCTCACACAAAGAAACACTGACGTTCATGGCACGCCTGTGCATCTCGGGAGAAGTGCCACTTCTACTCACTGCCACCTTAAATTACTCTAATTGAAAAATTACAACCAGAAACACCAAGGCCCCACTTGTCACATAAAGCACACAACATGAAGTCACTCACCTGTGTGGATAAGCACATGCCTCCGCAAGTGATAGGAACTCCTGAATGCTGCATTGCAATTATCACAAATGTGGGGTTTGGAGCTTGGAGACAGGCTACCTCCATCCCCATCCAACATCATGGACTGCAGCAAAACACAAGGAACAAAAACTCTCATTCCGCCCGTTTCCTTCAGCAGACATGGAAGACTTGACAGCAGTCGGACAAGGCTCCTGCCCCCCCTTTCTTACTTCATCTCTCCCAGGCAGACCTTCCTGAGCGAGCCCAGGGTCGGCCACGGCAGAACCAGAACCAGCCCAGCACACAGCTGGCTTCGGTCCGCTTTCTCACGTTAACTATACAATTGATACAGGGTTACAAATCCCAAAAAGTATCAAAAGTAACAAAAGTTTTAGGAACTGAAAGCAAACTTAAAAATCAACCTCAAGTAGGAAACAGTAATTAATTATCCTTTGATCAAGGACTTAACTGAAGAAAAACCAAAGTAGGAGCAATGCTGGGAACCCCTGATCTGCAAGCAACTGCTAAAACAATTTTGTGGAGGAAAAATATGTTTATTAGAAGCCTCTGTTCGCAGTTTCAAAGTTCTGCATGGACTTTTGTAGCCAAATAAGAAACCTGTATACCATAAAGTATTCAGCATTTAAGAGAGCAGGCTTTCGTGGATGATTCAATGATGATCCAACTGAATAACACTGTAGTCATATGCTGTTCATTCAAAGTGATTCACGGAAACTTAGTGGTGAAAGAACCATCAACAGCTGCAAAGTTCCTCACAAAAGACTTTTATGGAGAACGTAAGAGGAAACTATTTGAAAGTGCAGTGAAAACAGAGAACAGGAGGCAGAGGATTGTGGGAGTATGGAACAGGCTACCATCCAGCCACGAGGTTGAAGACGATATCTTGGTTTCCTTCAAGACAAGGCTGGGCAAGGTCACAGGATCAATTAACTTCTAATTACCCAAACAGCCCAAAGAAAGGTTCTGAAATTCTAACTTTCTTTGTATTGCCTCATTCTTCTTAAGCAAAAGTTGAGGCTGACACAGCAGGACAGTGGTAAAGCTAGGGGTTGAACCTGGAACTACATCCCTGCAGCGGGACCCAGACTAACTGATGTGAGCACAGGCCATTTCTCTCTCTTCTGTGCGTTAACGCAGGGAGAATTTACTCTACTGTGGCAGCTAGATGGCAGACAGTGCTCTTTAACTGGGACTCATCTTTCATCTTGAGAAAGTACTGAGAACATATTTTAAATCTGGAAAGGGTGCACTGATCGCACACACACCTTCCTCAGTCTACAAGTAACAAATTATACAACTTGAACTTCTAGAACACAACGCACACCACATTTCAAACAGTGTGAGAAAGCAGCTGTGTTAGCAAAGCAGAATCCAGGGCAGACTGAACAGGAAATCTGAAGTAAGCTAACTGAAAGATTTACATAACGCACTGCCAAGTGGGCCTTTTTAGAGAGATGTAATGGACTGTTAAAACTGTGGATGTGTAAATAGCTTATTAAAACGTAACCTATTGCCTGCTTAGCAGTTTTGTGTGCTCTTTGGTGAAGATACGCCTGCAATATTAAAACACCAAATGCTGCTCTCTTAGAAATTGAGGAGGTGGTACTGAAGGACAGCTAGGGACACGCCCTTTCCCTGAGCCAGCGGAGCACCTAGCCTCTCTCCTTGCGTGCCTGTCGGAGCTGGGGGCAGGAACAACGCGGGAGCTGTGGCCAGGGCGGGGAGCCCCGCGGTTGTGTCCATACCTTCGAGGAGTCCCCACGCTTCCTCCTCGGCTTGGCGCCCTGACCTTCACCATTTGACCGCCTGGCCTTCCGTCCCAAAGACTCCTTTGTCTCTTTCACTAGCCTACCTGACAGCTGTTGGAAGACAGAAATAAAATGGGAAAACATAAATAACGAAGGCTTAAAAGCAGAAGCTATCAATTCAGATCACAGTTGCTAATGGTGTGTCCAGTTCCTGAAGCTAAGATGTCACCACCAGTTGTGGTTCAGTTGATTTTCCTGCACTAATCCGGTTGGAATTTTGTGAAATGCAGTCTCTGTCCTGGAGAAGTGTGGAGTTTGAAGTCACCCCTAAATCTGGACTAAAATCCCATATATATTTAACAGAAAACTTTACTTACACAGCCTACAGCTAAACAACAAAAAAACTTTTGAGAAAATCACCTTTCTTCTGAAAACATGCATTCTCATTATTCATACGAGTGATGCACAAGAAACTAGAAGATATCACTAAAGGGACATTGTTGATTTAAATCAGAGAGCAAATTCAATCCCTTTTAGAAAAAGCAGCTGATTAGAGGTGGAATAAAGAGGTAAATATGCAGTATGTCTTCTCTCAGCTGTGGCAATTAAAGAAATATACTGGTCTCACTTGCTTATTCCAACTACTGGTTTCTTACTGATTGAATGGTGACTTCAGACACCAGGTGTTTTGAGTTTGGAGGCCAGCTGAAATAAACTAGCTACAAGTCTGGCAGAAGTTCTAGCTTTTATTTAAAAAACTTTGAAAATTAAGTTTGCTATTACTAATAACATACCACTTCTGCCCCTATTTCCCCATTCACAGCACAACTGATGGGCTTTCTATAAAAGGAGATGACTGAACCTTCTAGGTCTACCACTGTTAAATAGTGAGATTTTTAACAACCACATTCACCATGCATAGACAAAAAAATAATGCATGCACTGCAAAAGACTGCAAAAAGTCCCCTAATTAGACACATTACATTCACATCATTAAGTCACAGGTAGAATATGGATTTAAAAAAGTCAGAGCACCGAAATTTTTTTTTTTTAATTCCAGCACAGAATCTTAACCATTTATAGGTATCCCTGATTAATAAAAGCTCATAAAGCAGGCAGTTGGCTCCATCCAACCTCTTCAATTTCCAAATATATTGAACCAATATCACAGATCGAACACAAATGAAGGCTATAAAAAAACTAAACTGGGAAGTGCACCAATAGCAGGAATGAGAAGCCCTAAAAAGCGAGCTTTCAAGCCAAAACCGAGAATAGCCCACAGTGAGGACCAACAAATACACGTGCACAGCTCTGGCTTAAAGGCTCTGCGTGGGTTCCACTGCGCAGCCAAGGCAATGAGGAAGTGAGGAAGACGACAATGTTTTTAAAGACTTCATACGACTGGCAAGAACCTCTGAAGCCAACCTGGCTACCGTCAGGCAGAACGGCAGTGCTGGCAAGCCTGAGCAAGACGGCGGCGCACAGTGATCTAACCGCTCGCCTTGCCAAGCTTTATTCATGCTGACAGCAGCGAAGTGACATCATGTTCTTGGAAGGGAGCTTCTTTTATGCGAGCCAAAGCTACTGCGAACGTTCATTATTCTAATGAAGATGCAAGAGCCTCTGGAAAAAAATAATGTAATCATCGGTGAAACCACACTACGAAACCTCCGAATTCGACCTTGAAGGGAATAAAACAAAAGCCAGATGTAAAGCTGAACAAACTGGCAGTGTTTGGGCGGAACTCCAATTTGGTCAAAGTGAATTGGGATTCTTTGTTAAAGGCGAACTGCAGTCCCCATTTCCCAGACCGATTATTAAATCTCAGTAACAAAATAAATTAACTGATGTTACAGATCAAATGTACACATTTCGAATATAGGAAAAAATCATGAACTTCGTAAAAGTACAGCAAGTCGCCATGTTGTCGCAAACCTGCATTCGAGTTCCCACAAATTGCGACATGAGGCGGCCCTTCCTGCTCACTCGTCTCTGCAGTGACTGATGTACTGTGATGTACGAGTGAATAAGTACAGGTTGTGCAGCAGACACTTCACTGCAGAAATGTTCCAGAGTGATCTGCATTCAAGAGTTAACAAGTAGTATTTCTTGGCAAAACTGTGTTGAAATTAAAAGCAATATTTCCATTGGATTAAAAGAGATGTATTCATAGGGCCACACACGTCACCAGAGGTTTTGTTGCCTCATTCTGAATCACAAAACATGGGACTGCGTGTACCGGGAAGTTTTGTCTATTTTGTGATGTAAATTGGAGGTTTTACAAGTTGCTGTGTACATTTTATTGCAGTTTGAAACGCACTCATCAATGCCAAATCTTCCTAACCCAAAATATGAAAATATAGCGCTGCAGTTCCCCTTTAAATCTCATGTTAATGTCTGTCCTACAGCTGTACTTGCAATTGACGTTTCTAAACAGAAATGCGGCCCTGTGTTTACACATGAAGGCAGGCAGCTCTTAAGAAATCTAAACAAAAAAACACAAAGAGGCTGGACTCACATCTCTGCTCAGGCTCAGATCGTGCACCAGTAGGTTTTGGTTTCCCAGAGACGCCTCCAGCAGGTCGGTATTCTTCCCAGAGGTCCCGTACATGGGCAGCCGGTAGTCGTGGTCGCTGGTCTTCTCCTGCTTGATGCCCATGGCGTGGATGAAGTCAGCCGGCCCGTCGGGGGAGTCGCGCTCCTTCTTGAGGATCATGTCCTGAGGTATGTCCTGCATGACGGACTGGGCGGCCAGGCGGGTGAAGCTGGTCACCGGCGGGAGGTGGCTGAACATGATCATTCCGGGCGGGAAGCTGGGCTCCATGCTGCCATTCCGAAGGAACTCGTTGCCAAGCTTGTCTTGAATAATACTCATGGTGATCACTGGCAGAAAACTAGCTGGAGCCAAAAGCAAATATCCTGCAGGTGAAAAGTGTGAGGGGGGGGAATGGTTAAGCAAGTATCCAGCCCGCCATGTTTGCATTGGAATCAGCTAAGAGTTCCTTGTAACACTTCTGCATGTCTTGAAAAATAAGACTTGTGTTCTTTCTTATTACTATTAATGTGAAAGCCTGTTATGGCAACAATAATATCAGAGAATCGTGTCAAGCAACAGCTCAGGACTAATTTTGGCAAGACTGTCTTGTTGTTTTGCTTTTGCAGATATAGGCATCACAAACTCTAGATTAAGGGTATGGAACGCATTAATAATGTATCCTGTTCATCCATCCATCTTCTAACCTGCTTAATACAATAAAGACAATAAATAGCAGGATGTCAAGCAAGTATCTAAAACATCCACACTTGTAACCTTAGCGATCTCAACGTATCCGTTTTCTAACTGCTTCATCACGCAGTTCAGGGTCGTGGGGAGCCAGAGCCTGTCCCAGCATGCAACAGGCACAAGGCGGGGTACATCCTGGACGGGACACCAGCCCACCGCAGGGCAGACTGACGTGAACACGCACACACGTCAGGGCCAATTTCACAGGCCCGTTAACCGATCCGTATGTTTTGGGACTGTTGGAGGTAACCGGAGCACTCACAAGAAACCCACCACAACTGGGGAGAGCATACAAACTCCAAGCAGACAGGACACCAGGAACGGGCCCCAGGCATGGGAGGCAGCAGTGGTGACGCTATCCACTGCACTAATGGGCAGTAATTCAAATCCTTGATGAGCCAGAGGATGATGTAGGAAATAAAGTACGGATTTTATTTTCAACACAAGTTTTACATTTTACCTACATAAATCATACCACTGATGAGGCTGTCCAAACACTCAATGTCTTTCATCCAGTCCCATTTGGCCCAGGAGTCATTTAATTGCTATTTGGCAAATCAATGCCTTTTCTTTCCATACTGCCAGGACCCACTGCCACAGGCACCTGCTCCATGAGGTCAGCCTTGAATGCTGGTCTGTGTCGACTGCATCCTGATGATCCCAGAGGTGTTTTTTTGGGAAGATTCTCAATGGTTGCACTTCGACGAGAGTGCAGACCGCATCTTCCCAAACTACATTCTTCTTCACATTTTGGACTCCATTAAAACATGGCAGTGAAACAAACACTGGTTTAGTTTCTATGTTCAGCATCCTTCAATACCAACTGACTTCCACAAGCTTTGTGAAACTATTAGATGGCTACAAAATCTGCAACATTCTCAGCATTTACAAGGTATGAATATATTTGAGCTCTTTGGAAATGTTATTTTCATATATTTATCACATCTTAACTGACAACTCTGAATATACACCTAACTAAAATTCCTTGTATTTCAATAGTACTACACGTAAGAGAAACACCGACATGCAGTACCCATATTGGAGACGGACAACAGTCATTATAATAAGCCAATATCTCCAACACACAGCAGACCAGATGGAGAAACGAGAAACTGTTTTCCCAATGTAATGAAAAGGGACATTCTGAAGGCCATGCTGTGCAAGAACAGAGTGGAACTTAAAACTCCTATTTACAGTGTCATGCAATCTTTACTTAGCAGTTTGGACCTCAGTTTAATATGCCAAAGCAATGGATATCCCATACATCGTCACCACACTGGGGCAATGATTTGAAAGTTCAGGTCCAAAGGGAAGAGCCTCAGGTCCACAGACACCACGTTATAGTGGCAACCTGAATTCCATTAGAGGGCTCGTGTCCCAGCAGAGACCAGGCCCAGCCTTGCTTCGCTCCCAAGATCTGGTGAAATGGGGCTACAGAGTGGCAACGCAGCTGCCAATTTACTTTGTTAAACCAACTTTTACTTAAGAGATCATCAGGGCTCTGAATAAATTTGGAGGCAGTTGTAATACTGGATGGACTGTTTAACAGTGGTATCACCGAGCTCCCTTTTTTATGGCTCTTTGTTTTCCGAAACCGCTTTGGAAAACAGGCTTCGCTCTTGGAAATTAATATTATTCCGCTCATGCTTTTAGTGCTGGCCTAGAACACTGAGGATCTGTCAGTGTGCCAAAACACTAAGCTAGGCTTCACTGAAGCATACAGTTGTAGGAGGCAGAAATCAAAGGCTATGGCCAACACTCACAGAACCCCAAGTGTCTCTGCTCAGGAAGCCTTTGTGTTTCCCTCATTGTTAACAGCACTGTCTCCCAATTGTAATTTAAACCTCTGAACGCAGATAAGCTCAACCCTATTGTCTTCATGCATTATTTCACAATGAGAGCATTAAAACAGTGAAAGATTCTACTTTCTGTAAGTTGGTTTCGGGGAGTCTTAACATATTAAATATGAGCAGGTTTTAGAATTTTAGGTTTAGATTTTAATCAAACTTCTGAGGACAAAACATTATCCTTGTATTGTCCATAACCTTTTATCTAGTCTGGATTTGCAACTTTCAGTAAGAACTTTACAAACCCCTGCACGCATTTACTGTCTTTACAACACCGATAAAGCTACTCTGAAATAGCAATCGCTAAGTTAATTTTTAGCCTACTTTTCTTTGAAGTCTGCAGTACTTAAATTCCACATGTGACTATAAAATATGTATAACAGACTTTCACCAACATTAGTCAATTCCAGCCAGGTACTGGTTTTCATTTCTGCATTAAACTTTACAGCTTAATTGAACTAATTATTTACATAAGAAGTCAAATCGCCTGTTTTTTTGTCGTGTTTAAAAGAAACCCGCAGGTCTATGGAACTGACATACCCCTGACTTGCACTGGGAATCTCGAAAAGCCAATGAGTGACGATCATTTCAAAGGTGAAGAACATAATTTTTTTGAAACCACAATAGAAAGAGCGCTTACAAAACACATAGAATTCCCTCTAGTAAACCAACGCAAGAGAGCAGGGGTTTTATGTCAAAACCTAGCCCTGAAAAACAAACTACCATGACTGATAGCAGCAGATAGGGGAGATCTTAATGACCTCACAGGGAACTGAAGAAATTAAGACTAGTCCCCTAAAAGTGTCAAATAATGGCTGAGACGTGAATTTTTGTGAAAATTATATGCAGACTTTTCTAGGAGGTTCACACAGGATACTGTGATCACCACCTCCTGCTAGCCAACGAGCAAAAGATCAAAAGAAAAATTAAGCTAAACTTCAATAGCCGACATTGCTCATTTGTTTATCAAAAAGTGCTTCAGAGGAAACAGTGAAAAGTGCTGCGGATTAGGAAATAACCATGATCACAAGTTCCAAGATGCTCAAAGACCAGCAGGATTAGTGCACCAAAACGAGACAGCAGAACACAAAGCTTCACGACAGAGACGCAGGCCCAGACATGGCAGAAAGGACTTAAATTTGGAGATATACTGATGAGAAGACTCCATTTTCCAACGTAATACAAACGCTGTCCCTGTCGAAGTAGAGCACCATACACAGGGCCAGATCACGGTCCTTGCAGATCCTGGGCCCTTGTTTCGTGCTCCAGTGGTTGCATTTTTAGGGGCCCATCGATTACTATGGGTAGGTGGGTGATCAAAACTATATTGGCCTATTCTTCCTTTATATATATTCAATAGCTTTGTTACAGTTTTTATAATACAAATAAGAAATATATGGTCAAAAACAGGCCCCTTTTTTGCGGGGCCTAGTACCGGATAAGACTATTATCTGCATTGGCACATTTGGCCCTGAATGCACCTATGAGTAGTTGCTAAGCCCTAGAGCCGTTTTCGGGCATGCACCAAAACACACAGGAGCTGTGCAAGACAATACACTCCTGTCGGAATTTTAAACCCTCTTTCATTGGTTAGGCAGTAAAGAAAAAGATCAGTGTAACAGAAGGACAACCTGGCCAAATCCAGCAGGCCCAAGAATCTGGTCATGCAGTAAAGGTAGCCTGCCTTTTTAAAATGCTTTTTCAAAACAGGTCTATATCTGACTGTTCTCAGTGGCCTTCTGTATAGGGTCAAGCCCAGTTCTTGTCGAGAGTACTTTGTGGTTTGAGTCTAGAAGTTCAAGACTAAATGTGAACATTTTTAACAAATTACCTGGCTAGGCCATTTTGTTGTAAAGTTTGTTTTCAAAGGAAACTGGGTTAACAAAACAAAAACACGATATCGCAAGAAAGGCGAAAGCATTTTAAAATTGAGACGAGGAAATCAGAACGCATTCGAGCAGAATACAAGCGACATTGAGCGACACAACCAAAAAAAAAAAAAAAGAGGTCCTACTGAATTGCTCGTTAAATCGAGAAAACACACCAAGTCACCCAGCAACGCTGACGAATAGTAAATATCATGATTTCAAAGGTTAATAACGAGCAGAAAGTCTACCAAACTCCTGCACTTAGGTGCTTCGCCAGGAGGGCGCTGATGCACAGCGCGGGTCTGTTTCACCCACGACTGTGCTCTCGCGTGGAAAGGGTGCTGATCGGGTCGGTCGATTTGCAGGCAGACTCGGGGCGCTGGGCGTGAAGACGTGCTTACAATTTGATCACCAGTGCAAGCACCCGGCCAGCCCCTCACCATTACTAGCAGGATATTTACTCTGCCTACCTACAAAGTGAATGAGGGACTGCCGCAGCCCATCTGTAGACAACCAACCTTATTTACCGCTTAATTCAGCCGAATCACGTATTTACCCCCCGTCCCCAACCCACTCGTTTGAATATCATATTGTTCCGACCACAGCACGGTCTCGCCGCATGTGAACTGTACACATCGTCTGCTACCGAAGAAATGAGAATTGGCTCTCCGGTGCCCAACACCACCTCCACTCCTACATTAAAGATCCACTTGCTTTAAAGGGTTTAAAAATCTGCTGTACGGTGAAGTTTTTGTTGGGGTTTTTCTTGTCCCGGAGCAGCTGTGCTGGTTTACAGGGTTAACATTCTGCAACACTGAAGGTCGAGCGACACCTTTGAACACCAACATCCCAACTCTTCCTAAACTGGTCGATGGCTATTTTTGCAGCTCATATTAGTTGAATATTTTTGGGGTTGTTTTCAATGAAGTAGTTGGGACAGCTGGCCCTGATCCCCTCCAACTCCTCCGAGATTCCACCTCATAAACCACTTTATTGTCTAGCGACCATTTGTCTTGCGTACGGTATTTAATTCAACGAGGGGAGCGGATGTGCTTTTGTATTTCTGATTTGGGACGGTGTTTCTCCGGCACTTTAAATCGGATCTCGCAGCTTTGATTGCAGACAAAAATACTTCATCGAGAGAAGTATTTTGTATAGTAAACGCACTGTGTGTCGAGGACGGACGCAATGAATAGGGCAGAATCTGAAAAATCAAGATTGGGGCGAATAATCCGATTAAGAAGAAAATCGGCGAAAAAAAATGACGCCTTTGATCTAATCGAAAAGCAACGCGTGTGTTTCCGCAAAAATTCAGCTTTGATGCCTGAACAAACCGTTATGGTGCCCGTATTAAATACACCGCCTAGCTAGTATTACAAAGGGCCTACATAAATAAACCACAACACGGCGTAAAAGGCGCACATATTTCTCAACCAGATTTATATCGGGGGGAGATCTTGGGCAAGAAAAAAAATGATTTAAAAATGGTGATAACTCGTCTGGGACGTAAAAAACCATCGCCCTCGTTCGCCGCGGTGTGCCAGCTGGAACAGGGGAAAGCCGAGGGATAATAACCGTAATGGTGTAGCGACGCTTAAGCAGTAACCCCATAGTAAATGGCCCCATGCAACAACCGAAACAATTGATGCTCGGCTCGGTGCATCCCTCACGGAGAGCGACTGCATTTCTCCCACCGACCTGGCCCCTTCCTCTGGGCCAGAGAGCGCGGAAACCCGGTCTCCCCGGCCCCGCTTACCTGTGCATGGCCGCCGGTGGCTCTCTGCGTCGGTATTTTTCTCTCTTTTCTCACTCGTTCCTTTGAGTCTCTAAAGCCCAAACACCGCTCTCCTGCAGCTGCTGCTCTCCTCCATCTTGTCTCGGCGCGGGGGATTGTGGGTCTGGCGGACGGGTCCTGCGAGGAGACAGACGCGAGGCGGGCGGCGGGGGGCAGCTCTGGCGCGGACCAGAGTGAACCCTACAGCCCGGGCGAGGAGTCGCAGCGCGTAGTGCACCACCTCACACTTAACCCCTCGCCCTCCCGCTGGCTCTCCACGTCTGGCATTGCACTGGTCTCACGTAAGCACCACCACATCATAGCATAACCTTGCTTTGAAGGAAAGTTTTTTTTTTCCAGTTTCTGATGAGTTCCTCCCAGGCCAATGTCTCATATCAATTTTTGCAAGGCTTTTTAATAACTTTTAATACTGTATGCTGCTGTGTCTAAGTGTTATACAATGTCCTTCTTTGTCCCAGAGTGCTGTTGATTCTCACTTTACAATACTGATACTGTATTTATACACCCATTAAAGACACAGTGTTTCTTGAAGATTACGTGCTTTTGGTATATATGTGTTGAAAGTTTATTTTACTCTACAGTCATCCAAAAACACCACACTAGGTTTCTTGAGGAAGTTCAAGAGATTTGGGCTGTATGCTCCAGAGTAATGTCACCACTCAGTGAAGTAAAAGACCAAAGGTACGCTACACCCTGTGCCTAAAGTGAACGTATGTCATCAGCAGATTCAGAGATGGAATATTGCGCTTGTGATCCAAAACCCTTGTGGAAAGTCCTTCTGAACTTTTGGGATACTGCTGTACAACCAAGTGGGAAAAAAAAGTTCTATCTGTGGGGAAAAGGATATCTATTTATCTGCTCATCATCTAATCACTTCATCCAGTTCAGCATCCTGGGGGAGATGGAGCCAATCCCATCAAGCAATGGGAGCAAGGCAGGGTACACCAGGGATAGGACACCAGTCCATCACAGACACAAACACACACACTCACACCAGGGTCAGTTTTCCCAGAAACCACTTCACCTACCAGTGTGTCTTTGGACTGTGGGAGGCAACCCAATCAAACACAGGGAGAACATACAAACTCCACTCGTATGGCACCCCAGGAACTGAACCCAAGGCCACAGCACTGCAAGGCAGCAGTGCTAACTTCCCTGCCACCATGCTGTCCTCCCAGTAGTGTTTTCCCCTGGAGCTCTTGTAGAGCGTCTGCATGACTGATTGATGCTTCGTGGTAGTTAGTGGTTGAAAAACCATTGCCTTTTTCGCATCTTTAATTTTTAAATAGGGCACTTTTGGTCTTATGTAAATGTTAACATGGGTCCAAATTTGTTCTGCTATTATGGTGTCTAAATTAACAGCAAATTAAGTCCTGAAATAGTTTCACATTAATTAGTGCCCCATGTGAATAGAAGTTAAACTTAGCCTGAGGAATTGATGACATGATGTTGTTTATTTAAAAAAGGAAATAAGAAACAACAGGTGGAAAAAACTAAAGCTGAAGAATAAGAAAGATATATAGTGAGAGCTTATTTTCAGTGATATCCAACTGACCTCTTCCAATTCCTCCGAGTCGATGTTATGTCCTAATTAAGTTTGTGAGAATGATAATGAAGCTGTTCTCATGATGTGTTTCAGCAGTAATGTCATAAGGGTTCAACTGACAAGAGGATGCTTCCAAGCTCTTAGGGTTTCAGTATAAGTCTATACTATGAGTCAGCTCTTATCTTACTTTTTAAAAATACTTTTTAAGATGAGTGCAACTCCAGATGACCCTTTTCAGGAAAAGTTCATAAACACTAACATCAAAAGCCTTTTCCTCCCTGACACATCCACACAATCTTTATAGTGTTCTATTTATTTATTCCTTTTGAAGACTCATTTGATTTTTAAATACAAAATACAAGACTGTATATAAAATGTGTTTCAGAATGATTCAAGCATCAGTCATTAATTCAAAGCCTCAAATACATCAAAACAACACTTAGCTTGAGATGGAAGAACAGACAAATTAGCTCTTAATCAATCCCTCAGTTCTAAATGTAAATCTTTATCATTATGAGATCTGTCCCACTACTCTGTACACAGAGAAGTTAATGACACAGTCCTTGTGGCACAGTAAAAAAGTACAATGCATCAGCAAAATGGAAGAACTAAGACGTAAGTTAATGAAAATACAGGAAAAATGGAAACAATGAGAATTTCATGAAAACTAACAACCATTAATGAAAAAAAAAACTTGATTCAAGGCTTTTAAAAAGTGTTTAAAAGAAATTCCCAGAGGGACACAGGTGGTTTCCCAGTGAGTATAGAATAAGACACCAGGGATGTGCCTCCAGTGTAGATTTCAATTAGAAGAGTAGGAGAAGGACCTCTGTAAGACAAACTGTTGTTTCATTTCTTCCAGTTTATTCTGATAGCTCCTCTGCCACGGCCTAGAAACCCACAAAGTCCTCAGAAGCAACAGTGGGGAGCTCTCAGAAATATCAGTGACCTGAATCGAATAATTAATTTCTCACCAACGTTACCCACTGGTAAGAGAGCTCAGGAACGCCCTCTGGGTGATGAGAGGACACACAGGCCTTCCACACAGTGTCTCTTCACCTGGGCTGTAGACACCTGTCACCCAGTTCCTGCTAGTGTCACACTACACACCTGGCTTGGCAGCCAGTTGACCCTGTTTCACAGTTACCCACCAGAGGATAAGAGCGCCTTGGCTGAATGAGACGAAATGTTCATAAACACGGACACATCACACTGAAGACTTCACTTGTGCGATCACCTTGCAAGTCACCCTTCATTAACTTCATTAGCTTGGGGCTTCCCTTAAAAATCTGAGAAAATGTGTCAGTAACAGCATGTGTGCATGTATTAAACCCCTTTACATATTGACATTTACTTTCTTCTGTGTCCTTAAGTCAAAAATGCTTGTTTAAATTACAGTATGAACATAACTGGCTGAGCCATAAGATGCTGAGTCACTGCCTGGGGAGGGTCTGACCCAGGTACAGTATGTCGAGGACACAGGAGCCTAAGCACCTAAGGGGAATCTGAGGGATAATAACTGTGATGGTGTAATGGTGTAGCAACGCCACAGCTCAGGTTTGAACTGGGAGCCTCTTGGCTGAAAAAGCTCAGCTCTGTTTCTTAGCCATGGTTCTCTTCCCAGCTGACTAGCTTAAGTCCTGTCTCTGAATTGTTCTGATGATGAAGGGGTGGATGGTTTTGTTACGATAGCCAATATTCAGGTATGGGGGAATAAAGTTAACCGTTACTTGCTAAACAAACTTGTATGAATATGTGAAAGCGAGAGAGCTGATTGCATGTAACAGCTAACATGAATGACAGCCTTTCCTGTTAAGAAAAATCCTCATATCAGTTTATATGAAAGGAGGGATAATCCAGCTGTCAGGAGATGGTGCTTACTGGTTTCATTGCCTTATTCAAAATAATCACCAGTGTGCTTGTCTCCACCCTGCACTGTGTATAGAACGAGAGGCTTTAATTTTGTTAAATGCATTATGGAATGTTTTTGCTGAAGTGGGCTCTCAAGGGAATATTCCCTTTTAATGAGAGGGAACAGCATTATATTATTCTGTGAGAACACTCACAGAGAAGGTGCACAGAGAAGATTAAAGAGATTAAAACATATTAGACTCTTTTTTTGCAGGATTTTACTGATACCAATATCTGACTTGAATTATTTATTTTGAATGACTAACAGTATTATAAGAATTAAAATAGAAGAAGGCACTAAAGTAACCAGGTGTCACAGTGGCACATCAGCATCACATCAGTGATCAGCATCGCTGCCTCAGAGCAGTGGGGCCCTGGGTTCATTTCCCGGGGTGCTGTCTGCATGGAGTTTGCATGTCATCCCTGGGTTCACGTGGGTTTCCTTATGGTGTGCTGGTTTTCTCCTATAGTCCAAAAACATGCTGGTAGGTTTATTGACATCTGTGAGAAACTGGCCCTTGTTTGAGTGTGTGTTCCCTCAATGGACTGGTGACCTGTGTGTGTCCTGCCTTCCTACTTTTGCTTGCTGGGATGGGCTCCAGCTCTCACACAGTCCTGTACTGGATAAGGTGGATGGGCTAGATTGACACTGCTGTAGAGTTACTTACTGTAGGACACTGTTTTCTGTCACCTCTGACGTAAAGAGCATGGGTGCTACCCAGAGTGATGCAGAGAGAATTTGGAGGAATGGTGAAGAATTCAATCAGGAACCTCAGGTATAAAGGCAAAGTCTTTGATCTTGATGATTAGGTAAATACTCCTTGAATAACATCTTTCATCTGCAGCTCAGAGTTAAGTACATGGCCTTATGAAATGTTTTTTCCTCCCAACATGTTTCATAAGAAATGGCCATCAGGCCCCCATATCTTTTAAGATCACATTAAAAGCTCAACGTGTAAAAACGGAAATAGACTAGAGTCAATTTTATTTAAGAAGAAACAGGGTTTATAAAACAAGAAACAAAGAAGTTTTGATACAGTTCTTTATAAAACACCAAGCAGAAAACAGAACAGACAGTAGAACAGCAATACCTGGTGCAGGACTGAATCACAGGCTTATACAAGAAGACTGCTACATACAGCAGACAAAAAGCTGAACAGCTCTGCTATTTTGAGGAGTGAATAATTTAATATGGCAGAGATCTAATTTTGCATCTGTTGTTGAACATGCACTCAAAAAAGTAGTTTAAAACCAAATGGACCCACTGCTTTCTGAGTGCAGTGGACTCAATGACCGCTGTGTTGTAATTGAGGAAGCAGATTAAATTGTAAAACAATAGAAATGCGGTCATGTCACAGTCAGGAGGTGAGATAACAAGAAATTAGATAAAGGATAAGTATTTGTTTTCTGAGGCTAATAAAACACTCACTTATTATAATCAGGTCTCACATTAAAACATTTTCTCCTGTGCAACACTGTGGATTGATTTCTATTGCTATAAATAGAAATACAAGCTAATCTCATCTATAATTCACTTATAGATGGACTTTAATAGACACAGAAGGGACCCTTTTCCCATGAGTAATGCCAATATAAGACTGGAGCCTTAAATATTTTATTACGTTGTTTATTATTACAGGCAGAAATGAACAGATGATTT